ATCCTTGAACCACAAACAGAGGATGTGCCTTCAGAATCTTTACAGTAAGGTTTTATATGTGCCAAGGATAATAAATCAGTTCTAACTTTGCCCATGAATGGATTTCATTGCACTGTAAAATGAACTGTTGTAGCAAAGCAATTACTCTGTGAAAGATGGGAGAGAACAAGAAGTTCTTCAGCAAATAAAGTAGGAAAGGAGGCTTTAAATAACTGGATGAAGTTTTGTTGCATCTCATAGTAGTAAAGTAACATGGCAAATGTGTGCTTTGTATTAAGAACCTGGGTCTGGTTTAGATCCAGCCTTTTTGAGCTTTAAGTGCAGCTATGAGTCACTTGCTTCTGATAAGACTCCTCCAGGGCCTGTGAAGCTGGTTTCATGTGGACATTCTATAGACAATTTTTACGATCTGTATATAGTGTTATTCTTAAATCCCCCTCTTCGGGAGTACTAACATACTTGTCAAATAAACCAGTATCCTGCATTCTTCCATGTCTGGCTAAAGATGGTTGTTGCTGGTTTTCTTAACAGCTTGCTGGCTTGGGCTAGACTCTGTCACTGAATTGCTTTTTGAAGTAGTTTGTGCTTGTAGAATTCAAACTGGAAAATACAGCAGTCTATATATGGACTCTGCATCGTGTGCTGTTGTTTTGACTTCTCAGCCCTGCTGGTTTTCTGGTAGTCTTTGGCCTTGGCCTTTTCTCTTTAGGGTCTGTTGGATTTCATACCTGATCCTTCTGCCCCAAGGATTTGTATGACGAAAGCTGCGTGGGAAATGCTTGTTTGTTCTCCTGAGCAAGAGACTGTGTTTTGGTTCTGCGGCAGGCTGCCTCCCACAGTTACATTCTTATCATGGGTGTATGAATGAAGTTGGAAAACACTACGAAACAATGTGAACACCCAGTTACCTGCTCAATTTTCAGGGCTTTGGAATGTCTCCCCTAGGAGCTGCTTCTTAAGCAAAATGTAATATCTATTTAAGTGTGTATCTCAAAATACTGTGTGTAAATGAAACAAATAAGCATAAAACATTTTGCATTAAAGACTTGCCCTAAATTGGCTGAAGCACCTGGTGTGTATGAAGTTTAGTAGCAAAGGTGGGTTGGTTTCACCTTTATAAGTAGAATGGCCTGCAAGGACAGCATTCAAAATACTCCAGGCGACAGGCACATTTTGCAACTGGAATGTTCTGTCATGGTCATGTGGGCCCTCATCTGTAGCCACATGTAAGGTATAACCAAGACTTAACTTGGCCACCTCATTGCTGTCTGTGAGAACTGAGTAGTTGTGGGTTGTTGTCTTCCTTTGTGGTTGGGGTAGAGTTGATTGTGTTATGTTTTACTGGACTATTGATTTTTGTATTTATTCGGATGCTGTTTTTGATGACTTAGGCATTACCTGGAAAAGCAGATTAGAAATATTTTTCAAAATAGAAACACACACACACACACACACACACACACACACACACAACCTGGGTCCTCCTGCCCCTGCCTCTAGATTCAAGTGGTACAGCCCAGATATAGGAAGGTCAGCCACTTCAGGAAGAGCTAGGCCTTGCAGGAACTTGCACTAGATACCAGCTGGCTCCAAGCCCCCCCAACCCCCTGGCCTTAAATAACCATTTTCTAATCCAAAGGCCCTGTAGCACATTATGTTTTGTGGCCAGTGTAATCCTTCAGATGCTTTCTGAAACATTTAGCTAACCGCTGCCCTGTCATTTTCCTAGGAAACCATCATGTTCCCCGTAAAGGTCACTTCTGCTTGCTCCTTGCCTCCTGTTGGTTATTAATTTTATTAAATGCATGTTGCCCACAGCTTGTTCTTCAAATAAAATACCACTTTAAAAAGGTGCATTTAAAATAGAAGTGAAAGAAAGTTGCGCCTGTCACTTAGGGTGAACAATTGGCCTTGGATTCTGAAATGACTTGGAGTGCATTAATACCAGCTGCTGGAGCAGCAGCAGCAGGCTTCTTCAAAATAGCAAAGCTTTCTGGTTGTGGTGGTTGGTTTTTAATGGAAATAAAGCCTATCTATAGACACCTGTTACACTGAAACCAGTGTTCGAAATTAGCCAGGCATCAGGCGCATTTATCACCTGACTATCGGCCACTTGTGACCAAGTGAAGATGCCTAGGTATCAGGATGGCAGCTGACATCTCCACCATCAGGAGGTACGTGCCTGGGTATTCTTGGATCTTGACTGTTTTCACACACTAATCCTGTAGAATTCTATCAGTTATATTTTAGCTGCACAATCAGTATGAATTTCAGGAACCTAAATGCAGCGAACAATGTTATAGCTAATTGTTGTAGCTTGTCATCACTTACCCCACCCCACTGCCCAGCTTACAGTTGTGAAGAGGGCACATGGGTAAGAGCACCAGAGATGGTAGTATGTGTTAGTTTCCCCACATTTCTTCGAGCTTTGAATATATGCCGTTTGCACAGGTGTGTAGTACCATCTGTGGATCATTTTCAAAGAGTTATCCTTAATAATTGCAGATACAGTTAAAATGGTTTAATGAATAAAATTGCATTCTATAATGCTTTATCAATCCTCTCTCTCAAAACTGTCTACCACACGGCACGTAAATTTGCAACAGAGGTGAACACCCCTCCTCGGAGCATTGTATACAGATGACTGGCATCTTATGCTTTGGGATAGCATGTAAGGCTGAAATCCTGTATAGTCAAAACAACCTTTTAAAAACTGGAAAATGGCATGTAAAAAGCACAGTATAGCACTTACTGGTGTATGATGACTGTTTTTAAGCTCTCAAACTTACTGAAGAAAACCTGGTGCAGAAAGAGCTTTTAAACTCTCTGCTGTCTGTGCATTTAATTTGTGTGATTTCAACTAGCCAGGCTTCAACTGCATAAAGTTGAAATCGCAGTCTTATCTGTGCACAAGCTGCAAGTCACCTCTATATCCTTGATATTTTACTCTTAAGGCAGGCATTTAAACTTAGGCATAGTAAATTTTGTTGACAGTTTTTGATGTATAAGAGGTGATCAGTTGTAATAAAAATCTTTACATGAGACCAGCTTGTGTGAATAATCTAGAAAGTGGCCTTTACTGTAGGACTGAACAAAGGATGTTAATGCAAGGTCAGAAGGAGCGATGAAGTGGGGAGAACAAAGACTCTTCCTTTGCTTTTTGTTCTTCAAATTGGAGATACGGAGTAGAAGATCAAAGTTTGCAACCTTGAGTCGCCGAAGTTGAGCAGATAGGCGAATTCCAAAGTCAAGGTTCTCTGACACAGTTGTTTTAACTTCTTGCAAAAATGATTTGAAGGCAGTTAGTTTGATTTCTTAAATGTTTTAATCATTAAACCAGCTCTTCTGAGAAGCCCTTAAGTTGCTGGAAATACTATGCTGCAAATTCCTTTTATATCAATGTCACAAGGCTTTCTCTCTCTGGCTTTCTTGGTTTCCTGCCTTGGCAGTCATATTGGAGGCCTTGCTTGGTCACAATAGCAGTCTTCCAAGTGGGACAAGTACCTGAACAATAAGTTGTGAGGAGTTTCTTGCATGTGAGCAATAGCCCTCAAGGTAGTCCCAACAAAGGATGTGAAATGTTTGGTGACTCCGGTTGTTTTAGCATGGTTAGGGGAGCTACATTTGTGGTGAGGGTCAGAGCATGCTTCCATTTAGCTCATGAGACGTCACTCCCTCTTCCCTAGGTTCAATTCCTGACATCTCCAAATAGGAGATTCCTGTCTGAAACCTTGAAGAGTTCCCCCCAATCAGTGTAGAGCAGACTTCCCTAACCTTGTGTCCTCCAGATGTCTTAGACTGCAAGTTCCAACTGCCCCAGTCAGCATGGTCAATAATTAGGGGTGATGGGAATTGTAGGCCCAAACATATTGAAGGCACCAGATTGGAGACAGTGTTCTAACTAGATATTAGGCAGCTTCTTATTTTCCTATATAAGAGTGCATTCTTCCCCCTTTCTCCCACTTGGAAAAAAATGTGTGTGAAGTGTCTCTCCATGACCTAAATTGCTTTACAGACAATTTCATTAAATTGGCGGGGTTTGGGGGCACTTTATGTAATGACACAGTCTTCCATTAGCTTTTGGGGTTACAGGAAACCCTTCTGTTTCAGTACCTCTTGGGAAAAAGTGCTCATGTTGGTGCAAAGTTCTTGTTGAGCTAGGGCTGGGGAGACCAAGCGAACCCTGAGAGGGCCTTCTCAATGTTTGCTCCCAGACTTTGGAACTCCCTTTCTAGAGAAGACTGCCTTTCTAGAGAAGACTGCCTCCCTCCTTGGTGTCCTTCCGCTGGCAGGTGAAGACTATTTTATTCTGATTGGTGTTTTGGAGCTGACTGATTTTTAAGGAAAGGACTCTCTGCTGTGCTTTTTTATTATTTGTATTTTAACAGATCTTTTTTTTTATACTGTTTTGACTCTAGTGGAGTTTACTGACTTCCTGATGATTCTGTTTATTGGATTCTCTTTTAGCTTTTTGTATTTTATCTATGTTTTTTAAATTTATGTAAGCTTCCTTGAGACCCAGTCTGCGGAAAAGGTGAGATGATGATGATGATGTTATTCCTCTGTGGATCATCTTGTGCCAGTCACTGTTTGTCAGCCTTTACTACCTCACAGGGTTATTGTGTGGGAGTGAAGAGAGAATCATGTATGCTGCCTTGAGATCCTTGTGGAAAGGTTGCAATATACATGCATACATTCATATCAACATATATGTTGCTTTGACTTTGCATCTGTGATGCCATATACCTGCCCTGTTCAGTAGATCTTAAGGGCATTTTAATCACAGTTTAGCACATGGTCTAAGAACATCTGATGTCTGCAGCATTTGCAGAACTAGAAAGCTGTAGTCAATATCACCCCGTTTGAGAGACTACTGGGAACCCCATATAACAACAGAATATTCTATATCTATGTGTGTATTCATTAATAATTTCTCCTTGCTTAGAGATGCAAATGATGTAAGCCTTTCCCCCCCTACTCCTTTCCTTTGTTTTTTCCAGGGCACCAGTGCGTCTGCTGCTTTGGAGAAAGAGATTGGTGTAAAAGGTGTAGAACAGATTCCTGGGGATGAACATTACTTTGGCTTGGTCAATGTGAGTAGCTTTTCTGTGTCTGGGTTTCTATTTAATAATACCTTCTTACTTCCACCTTTTGGGTTCTAAAATGAAAAGTATTTGTTCCTGAGCAGCTTCAGTCTGTGGGTGCTGCTACTGATACAAAATTGAAAGAGGCTTAAATTAGCATCCTGTGATGGGCAAGCTCCATCTTTTTATCTATATTTATTTTATGAGCTTAAAAAAAGCAAACTAAAGAGAGTTGGTTTTTAAATATCTGTTGCTTTCCTTTTGGGGCAAATGCTAAGTATTTACAAAGACATGCTAGAGTAGAGATTACATTTCAGCAAAACTTTTTACCGCTGATGTATTGTAATTATTATTTATTAAATTTATAGACCACCCTTCATCCAAAGATCACAGGGTGGTTCACCACTTAAAAATACAAAATGAGAACACAAAATACACAATAAAACAACAAGCCAATAATAACCCCCAAAACACACTTAAATGGCTGTAAAATGTTGAATCAGTCAGAGGCCAGACTGAGCGGCATTTAACCACTCACCTGTCAGCTGTTAAGTGGGGATTAAGTCCTGCTGGGAAAAGGCAACCACAACAAAGCAAATTTCAGAACCACTCTCCTGCCCATCAGCTGATGTGATGTTATTTGATTGGCAGGTGGGCACGGTTGAGGAAATTGTCCAAATTGGACCTCTTATTGAGGTAGTCTTGACCTATGGCTGCCTCCCAAGTAGTTTTATGTATTTAAAAGTCTTTTTTCAACTGTTTAATATTTAATAATCTCTAAGTTGTATCCAAATGTGTAACATAAAAACAGTAAGACAGTATCAATAAAACAGATATGTGACATAGAAACCATTAAAGCAATATTGAACAGATAAAAACAGAATTTCAATAATAGCAGGATCTAACCTTATGGGTCAGTGGAAATCTGGGCAGAAGGCTACATCTTTGCAAGGAGTCAGAAGCAACTCATGGATGTTGTTTTGGCATGGGAGAGGAAAGAGCATTTCATGCAAGGATAACTTGATTGAGTATTCCCTCAAAGGTGCAGTGTAGACTTCAAAACTTTTGTTCAGTTGTCATGTCAAATTGATGAAACTGGTGGCATGTTTTGTGACAACAATTTCAGGTGTGAAACAACTTTACAAGCTGGCTTGTCCTCCCTCGGGGTAGTCAACAGCCATTCTAGAACTTTGACATTGGGGGAGATGGAAGGCAAGCTTTGGTTACAATACAAATAGCAGGATAGCAGGAAGAGGATCCCCAAAAATGCTTCTTCCCACCCGCAGTATTCACATGGACAAATGTTTGACATAATATTTCCTGCAGTGGTTTTTTGCTCCTCCTCCTGCCTTTTTTGGTCAGAAGGAGTTGCTTTTTCAGTCCTACTGTTTTATTATCCTTACAGTTCCTCCGTCATGTTTTGTAATTATTTGAAAGGCAGCATTACTTCCTGGAAGTGTGCCAAGTTTTAAAGGCTGCATTTCCACTTGTTATCTTTGTAGACGCATATGGGATGGCTGCGAGAGCCCATCACCGTGACGACTTGCTTCCTTTACAGCCAGGTTTTAAGCTCCGGGGCTAAAGCCTTCTTGCAGGTCTCTCAAGTGCTCTAGACTAGAGCAAGCTGAGGTTTTTGCCTGCTTCTTTGTTGCCTGTTTGGCTGCTTCTGAGATGTGACATGGGAGATATTATCATGAATCTGCAGGATTTAAGCAAATGCTAAACATTCAACTTTGAAGCAGGTGCAGAGCACTCCAGTTTTGATCAGTGCATTAGTGTTAGAGGAGGTATTTAACCTTTTCTGACTTTGATGTTATCCTAATTTAAATTGCCTCTCTGAAGCTGTGAGCCCTGTAGCAGAGAAATAAAGAGGTAAGACATATAATAGAATCATAGAACTGTAGGTTTAGAAGCAATGTTCGAAACTCCCATTGTTCTAGGCGCATTTTGTGACAGGGAATTTCATTAGCGTGAGCAGTTTCTGAGCTCTGGGCACAATACTGCGCCTAAGATTTCAGATTAAAATTGCAGAGTGGAAGGAAAGGAGAACCTTTTTCTGCCTCCCCACTTCCAGCTACTTTCTGAAGACTGGAGAAGAGACCCCCTCAAGAATATTAGGGGGTGGGCAGGGGAAGGACTAGACCATGTGAAAAATTAACACAATATTTTAGCTGCAGTTCGTTCATTTTCATCTTTGTTTCCTTGTTATAAAAAAGCACACCTAGACATTCCATTGTTGTGCCCATAACCTAGATTTAAGGTGCCATTTAGGTCCTAGCTTTCATATCTCAGTTTCTACCACTGGTTGGAAGGGATCCTGAGGATCATTCAGTCCATGTACCTGTGTATTTTCTCCTTTTGGGTAGGAGGTCGGTTTTGTGCTGGACTAGATAGACTTCTGGTCTGATCTAGCAGGCAGGAGGTGATCCACACTGCTCCAGGCAATTCATCTGTGTCTAGGTTTCAAGACTGAAACTCATCCAACAATACATGACTAGGTAATGCTCTGAGCACATTCATTGGCAACTCTGCAAACAGTGGTATCCAAGTCACTGTGGATGTGAGTGATTCTGACTTCAAATTGCCTAACAAATAAGTAATAATGGACCTTTATGGAATTTTCAACACCCACTTGCGGGCTGCCTTTTGGAAACACCTGTTGAGAAGGTATGGTCATATGGATCACATCTTGCCAGATCAAAAGAATTGCTCTGGCTGCAGGCCCATTTCTAAACTCATTCTAATGTACTGCTTCTACTTTTGTAAGTCCCTAAATATGTTGAAAGGGACGCGGGTGGCGCTGTGGGTTAAACCACAGAGCCTAGGACTTGCCGATCAGAAGGTCGGCGGTTCGAATCCCCGCGATGGGGTGAGGTCCCATTGCTCGGTCCCTGCTCCTGCCAACCTAGCAGTTCAAAAGTACGTCAAAGTGCAAGTAGATAAATAGGTATTGCTCTGGTGGGAAGGTAAACGGCGTTTCCGTGCGCTACTCTGATTCGCCAGAAGTGGCTTAGTCATGCTGGCCACATGACCCAGAAGCTGTACGCCGGCTCCCTCAGCCAATAAAGCGAGATGAGCGCCGCAACCCCAGAGTCGGTCACGACTGGACCTAATGGTCAGGGGTCCCTTTACCTATAATATGTTGAAACTAGTGTACATACATCTAGGCAGGTTCTCTTGCATGAACCTGCCTAGATATATTATGCCTAGAATGAATGAATATATATCTATATATCTATATATCATCTATATATCTATATATCTATATAGATATATATCTATATCTAGATAGCGTACAGTGGTACCTCGGGTTACATACGATTCAGGTTACATATGATTCAGGTTACAGACTCCGCTAATCCAGAAATAGTGCTTCAGGTTAAGAACTTTGCTTCAGGATGAGAACAGAAATCGTGCTCCGGCGGCGCGGCAGCAGCAGGAGGCCCCATTAGCTAAGGTGGTGCTTCAGGTTAAGAACAGTTTCAGGTTAAGAACAGACCTCTGGAACGAATTAAGTACTTAACCTGAGGTACCACTGTACTTTTCCGTGTATGACGAGTTCTTTTACTCAAAATTAATGTTAAAAATGGGGGGTCGTCTTATACATAGAGGAGTTTGTTAGCGGCGATTGGGTGGGTAAATAGTGTCTGCTGCAAGGGCTGCTTTGGATTAGCTGTTGCTGTGTAAATCGGATGGGTTATGTTTGTTTGCATCAAGGGCTGCGGATTTGCTACCGCAGTGGCAAGTGGGTGTGCGGTTGCTGGCTTCTGGTGGCGAGCCGGCATACACTTTGTGTGTTCTGTGGCGCATGCGATTGGTAGTGTTTGTCAGTTGGGTGAGTGATTATCGGCATATCCCCCCCCCAGCTGAATAACTTTGGGCAATCATCCCCAAAAGAAGCTCAACAACTCTGAGCCATCTTCCCCCATTTTCTTAAATTGTAGTCCCCCAAAATAGTCTTATACACGGGGTCTTATACACACACTTAGGTATTATTATCACCCTTGGTGTTGACCTTCAGAGTTGAACCATGACAGGGCCTTATGAGTTGTGATTCCCCAGTCTTGGAATCAGGAAGGCTTGCCTGGCAACAGGACTGATGTCTTTTCTGCGTCAAGTGAAAACCTGTTTATGACCTTTTAGATATTTATGTTCTTTAGTTTGCTTGATGCTATAGAACATTAGGTGCTGTACTTTTATTGTTGTCTTTGTGTGCTTTTGAATTACTGCTCGCTGTTTGGAAAGCCTTCAGACGTGAAAAACAAGAAAAGAAAGGTTCTAAATAAGTTAACTAGCCTGCAAATACTTTTAATGGCGTTAAAATATTTGTATTACACGTTAATATTTGTATTACACTGACAGTCTGAAAGAACCAGCTCCTTATTTTTGTCAATTTACAAAAACTTCTTCATTGCTAGAAATGACTGGGCAAGTGTAGATTTTCCCCCTCTCCCCAAGTTTGAGGGGCTTTATTGGATCTGTGCACTCTATGTATGGGCACTCTATGTATGTACAAATGTCTAGTGTTGGGCAGGGTAGATATGTTGGCCTAGCACTGGGTAGCATGAATCTTCCATTGGAGTTGCATGCTTTTATATCTCTAGGACCCTTATTGGAAGTTGAAAACTCGGATGCCACAGCTAGAAAATCATGCACCAGCAAAATCACTCCAGGCAGAAATAATTAATTAATTAAATGAAATACATTTCGCACACATTATTTGGCTGCACAATCTAGTAAGTTAGAGTTTTTCATTCGCAAGTACAGAAATGCTGCAGTTTTCACTTTTATTCCAGGGTGCCCTAATTATAAAACAACAGATTGGTAGGGAAGCAGTAACAGGATTCACAGAGCACCATAGGCGTAGCCAGGATTTTTGTTAGGAAGGGGCAGGACTTTTGTTGGGGTGGGGGCAGAACCAACGTGATTGGTCAGTTAAGTATTTCTATTTTCACTTGATTGCGGGGGGGGGGGGCGCTCAACTGCCCGCCCCGCTTGGCTATGTTCATTCAGAGCACTTATTACCAACAGGGACAATGGAGGGGAGATTCGGTGGTATGTTGTTGTTTTTACATATCACCTTTCTTCCAAGGCAACTAAGGCAGTTCACAACATTAAAACACTAAAACAAATACATGATATAAAACAAAGACCCACAGAGGCCTCTCATGCCAACTGGGAGCTGGTGATATGTGTATTCCCCGACCACAGGCTGCCATGTGTGCTCCCTGGCCTGTGGTCCTTCATTTCTGTTGGAGCATGCAGGCCTTCAGTAGGGTAGGAACTGCCACAACATTTCTCTAAGGCAGCTGATGGTTCTGTGATGAGCTGTTGGTCTTAGACCTTTTCTTTTGCAGGGATGGTGGCAAACATTATTTTTCGACCACTGTTGTGACCTTGGAGTGTTGTCCAGTGGGGTTTTTCCAGTTGGGGCCTCCTTCAGCTTGGCCCAGCAGATGATGTGAAGGAACCATCATGCTGTGACATGTTTGGCAGTGTCTTTGGGGGAGGGATGAAAGTGCCGTATGCAGAGTTCTTACAACTAGCAAGCTGACTTCTGTTGATGTAGAAAGGGATCTAATTCTTCAGTGGCTTGAGGGTCAAGCACTCCAGGATGCATCCTTCCTTGCTAGATTCTGTATCTCATCAGCCCCTGTCCTCCTTTTTTCCATGAAATGAGACAGCCTTCAAATGTGACAGATGCAAAACAGCTGCTTCTAGCTATCTCCGGCACATTGCCAATATATCCTTGTAAACAGGAAATGTGAACTGGATGTCTCATTTTGCCCCCAAAGGCATCTTTCCCTGTCAAACACCAGCAACTTTGAATTGTTTCCCACCCACCTATCCCCACTATAAGCTGGCCCAGAGGGAAAACCTCAGCCTGCTTGATTATTTGGAGCAATCATATCAGCTCCATGTTTTGGGGCGAGAGGTGGGTATTCTCAGTGGTACCACTGTGTGTCAGAAACCACAATCTTTGCCCTCCCCACAAGCCAGCTAGCTGCTTACTAGTCTTAACCCACGGCAAGAGCATTGCGTCTGCTCCCTCTTGAGTGGCATCTAGCAGGACAATTGGTTTTTCCCCCTTCTCTGCCAAACCACATCACAAAGCTTTACAAGGGGGGGGGGTTGTCTTCACCCAGGCCTCTACAAGTTACGCTAGAATTCCTCGTTTTAAATCTTATAAGTGTATCAGGATGAGGTTGAGGAAGGCTGACCAAAACGGGAAACACAACTTGTTTAACAGAGCTAGCAATTTTAAATGTTGCACCAATGACTTTGTTTCCACAGTATGTGCTATTTATTTCTGAGTTCTCCTCCTCCTCCTCTGAGAGTGTGCATATGAGACTGAATTATACGGTCAAGCCATAAGTCCATTTAGCCAGCAGTTACTTCTACACTGGCTAGCAGGGCTCTCCTTTTTCCCTGCCCCTTCAGCGGATTTGACTAGTTGACCTTGGGTTCCCATCCAGTTCTGTGATTCTGTTATTCTACCTCCTTCAGCTGGTGGGAGAGAAGAGATTGCGACCTGTGGCTTTCTGCCCACAAACCAGGTGCTTTGCCACAATCTGTGCAATCAGGTTAGCCTTCCTGATTCTAGCAAAAATGTTTATTCCCCACTTGCTCAGCTGTTATGGAACTATTTTCAAGATCACAGGATATCTAATTTTAGACCTGAGCCAAAAGTTCTCTTGAGAATTCTTGGTTTGAAATTGTGGAGGGGGTTGAAGCTACACATACAGCTGCACCCTTTACCTTTTCTATTGTTGCTGGTTTCATTATGGGAGCTCCTACCCACACTTAACCCCCCCATCCCCCCCCCTGGAATATTGTTGCGCAATCATGTTGCATTGTTCCAAGGGGCATTCAGGGAGGGGAATAATAGGTAGCAAGAACATTTGCTGCCAAAACAAAGCTGCCTTTCCCCCCCCATCCCCCTCCCGTTTTTCGAAATATATTTTTATTGAATATTAATAATGAATCGGTTTCGGGGGGTGGGGATAAAGAAAAACTGTTTTTTAAAAGTAAGTTGTCACAATTTCCGGGGGGGGGGGAAATATAGGATAAAGTTATGTGATTTACTAAGTGAGTACCAAGAGGAGGAGGACACATAGTCTGTCATTGCTAAGGGATCCATGGCCTAAATAAACAAAATAAGGTTTTTTTATTTCTAAAAACGAAGATTGAATGAATGAATAAACTTTATTACAGTCACAGGCCAGTATAAGAGAAACATATGAATAAAATAGTTGATGAATAAGAATTGTTAATTAAAACAGATACAAACTAAAAGATACGCAGTTAAAACAACTATAAGGGTGGAGCTTAGGGGAATATCGGTCTTGCAATATGGGCCTTCAGTTTAGGACTGGTTTCTAGCATAAACCATCCTTGGGCGAATATCCATCATGGCAGCGCAAAATCTAGCAACTGAGTATGTAACATCTGGGTTTTCATCCTGGAGTAGTAGGGAGATGTTGAGTTGTTCTGTGCATCCTGGGAATTTGTGCAGGATAAACCTGGCTCGTATGTCTACATAGTACTGGCAATGGAAAAGGGCATGATCTGTTGTTTCCTGCTGCCCGGAGCCCCATGGGCATTTCCTCTCCTCATATGGTGTCTTCCTATAATGGCCTTCCTGAATGGCTGAGGGGAGGGCCTGACAGCAGGCCAGAGTGAAAGCCCTTCACTGTTTTGAGATTTCAAGGTTGGTTATATACAGTGGACGCGCAGGTTGCGATTCTGCGCATGCGCAACCGCTGAAACTCGGAAGTAACCCGTTCTGGTACTTCTGGGTTTTGGCTGTCTGCAACCCGAAAAAACGCAACCTGAAGCAGCTGTAACCCGAGGTATGACTATATGGCATTTGGGAGGTGAGGTATCTTCTGGTTTCACTAATTAGAAATTTTGGGGACCTGGCTAGGCCAGCTTGGCATTCTGTGTCTTCCACACGCTGTTTAATGTTTCTTTTAGGTTGTTCGCTGTTTAATGTTTCTTTTAGCTTGTTCATGCCCCATGTCAAGTAAAATCTCCGTGTTGAAGCCTAGAGTAGTTATTATATTTTTCACAGCTCGTTTCCATGTTGATTGGAAATCATCCTTAATAGTCAGGGGAGCAAAGCCACTCAGGAAGAAAGATAGTCTCAACCAGTAATTAAGAGTGGTGAGCCACACTCTGGCCTCGATTCTTATGGATCCAGTTTCAAGACGTATGGTAGCATTGGAGACATGTTTAGGAACTTGTAGAACACCATATAACAGCTGTGCAATCAATTTAGCCTCAAACAATTTGAGGGCTACAGGTATATTGTGTCCACCTGAGATATCTGAGGATAGCATTTGTGCTTCTGTGGGCATTCCCTGCAACATAGTCACATTGGGCTTTTCTGCTTCCCGATGAATGTGGGGCTATACCCAGGTATTTGAAGCAGGTGACCTGCTCATCTTGTGACCATTGATGCACCATGCACGTGGGTTGAGCCTCTTGGCAAAAAATGCAATTTTGGTTTTCTGGTAATTGAGCTCCAAATTGACCCTCCTTGCAATATGCTGCCAGTGTCTCGAGAGGCTTGTTGCGTCATCTGCGTAAAGCAGCACTGGAATATGCTTTCCTGTGAGTTTTGGAGGGTGGAAATTCATATTGTGGAGGTGGGGAATCATATCATTTATATAAAAATTGAAAAAAGATGGGGCCAATATGCATCCTTGCTTGACTCCCTTCTTGGTCTCTATTGCGTTGGATAGATGTCCCTGGAGGGAACATGGCACTTTTAGCAAGGTCCCTTCATGTAGTGTGTGTATTAAATATAGCATGCGTCTGTCAAGTGTGGAAGTCTCCAGTTTTCCCCATAGCTTTATTCTGGAGATGGAGTCGAAGGCTGCTCTGAAGTCGATGAAGGCCACATAGAGAGAGACAGTATTACTAGACGAGTACTTCTCTATTAGGTGTTGGAGAACTAAGCCTTATAATATATATAATTATAATAATGGTTATAATACCATATTGGTCCGAATATAAATAATACCCGCAAATAAGCCGCACCTTTAAAATTTGCGGGTGTGGCCCACCTCCTGGCACTACCGCCCTGAATGGGGGGTGGCCGGCCTTGGCGCCCTGCTCCCCACACCGGTGCCAGTGCTCGATTCCGCGCATGCTGCATGCCTGACTTCCAGCACTACCAACTCCTGGTACTACCTCCCCAAGTCGGCGCCAGCGCCGGCTGCCCCCCCCCCAATTCAGGGCAGTAGTGCCAGAAGCTGGGAGCGCAGCACTTGGTTCTGAATATAAGCCGCACTTTAACTTTTCACAGTCAGAATTTGGGGGGCAAGTGCGGCTTATTTTCGGGGCAATCCGGTAAACAGATAATTTAAAGCTAGCCTCCATCCCATTTCATGAAATCACATGCATTGTGCAGTCAGCCTCCGTCATACTCTGCTTATTTCCCTCATGCCCTTTCACTGCAGCTAGTTCAGGTACTTTTTGCCTCCCCCCCTCCATTTTAGTAGACCTTGAATAAAAATTCTTCTTTTTTTGCTCTCTTTCTCTCCCCCCGCCCCCGGCTTTCTTTCATTTAGTTTGGCAATACCTGCTATTGCAACTCTGTTCTGCAGGCACTTTACTTTTGTCGTCCGTTTCGGGAAAAGGTTTTGGCTTACAAGGTCCAGCCGCACAAAAAGGAAACCCTTTTGACATGCCTCTCAGAGCTTTTCAACGACATCGCCACACAAAAGATGAAGGTGGGGGTCATCCCTCCCAAGAAATTTATTTCCCAGCTGCGGAAAGACAACGGTAACTAGACTTCTTAAATCTCCATGTCCACTTCAGTGTTATGCATCTTTGAGGGCCTTTCAGGTGTTACTTTAGTGGCTTGGGAGCTGCTTCCCAGAGGAACATGGAGATGGGGGGGGGTGCAAAGAGGGTGATGTATTGGTTTGAGTGTTGAACTGGAATCTGGGAGACCAGAGTTCAAATCCTTATTTGACCATGAAGCCCATCTTGGGCCAGTCACTGCCTCTCAGCCAAACCTACATCTTAGGGTTGTTGTGGCGATTAAACAAGGAGGAGAGAGCCAGAAACAACAAACAAACAAACAAACAAGTTGTTGTTGTTAAGTACCCGCCCTTCACCCTATTGTCCAGAGCAGGTTACAATATTAAAGCACAACTGTAAGAACAGTTTAAAACAATTTACAATAACAAAAAGAAATCTATAAGAAAGAATGGGACATGTATGGGACAGAAAAGGCCAAAAACAGCAGAGTGATGTAAGGTTTGTTGGGTCCTAATCTCATTGCAGGAGAGAAGAAGCCACTCGCCAATTCATTCCAGTTTGCTTTGTTATTCACTCCTCCCAATGCACACCCACAATAAAACATAAGTTAGAACTGTTTATAACTATTTATAATTCAGATCCTGCTGAGATCAATGGGACAAGATGGCCATGGCTTAGTCCTCCGTTGAAATAAATGGGACTTGAGTGCAGCTGCTTTAGCCTGGATCCTGCCCATTACCTGGATATTTGAGATGGGAAATTAGCTGCTGATATGGCACTTGTTGACAAGTGCTGAAATTTATGATCCTGAAGGGATGGCATGAATGTACATATCCAGTGTTGAAAGAGTGGTTATTGGAAGTCTGGAAAATTAAAATGATGCCAAAATTAACTAAATTAAGAGACAACAGCCAACAGATAGCAACTTCTAATACTTTGTTCCCTTTTACTAATTTTGTGAACAATAGCGTACAGCCTGGATATTGAATGCTGAAACAGGGGAGTGTGTTTTCAAGAGGCATTTAAAAGTAACTACTGTGTCCACCACCTTCTGCCCTTGGAAGGGTGTCCAGAAGGTTGGTGCCCGTACTAAGAAGACCCACTCCCTAGGTGTCACAGGGCAGCATCCCAGAGGCTTCAGTATAGCCAGCAAGGCTTTGTCTGAAGATCTTATCCATTGGCCAGGAATGTCTGAGGGAAGTGGTATGCTAGGTATCCTGCTTCTAAGTTCTTTAAGACTTTATATGCCTTAGTACTGGGAATCTCCATAGTGGATCCGCACTTTCTCTGCTAGATCTAATATATGCATATAAAAATACATGCAGCAATCAATCCAGCTTAGTTTAAAAGCACTCTGTGCCTCAGCCAGTCAGCTGTGTCTTACCTAAGCCTTGTGTCCATTGTCGGTCTCTAAATAACTCTCCAGACTTAATGAGGCAGAGTGGAGCACCAATATCATGTGGCATGATTAAGAGGAACAGTATTACGCAGTGCATTTCACCCCCTTCTGCCCCACCTTACTTCATCTTAGAAGTAACTGAAACTGTACGCTGCGAGTGACCTAACAGCATTTTAATCGCCCTTCCTTTTGTTTGTCTTGCATATCTTCATTGCCAGAACTCTTCAACAACACCATGCAACAGGACGCACATGAATTACTGAACTACCTGCTGAACAGGATTGCTGACTTACTACGAGATGAGAAGAAGCAGGAAAAGCAAAATGGCAAGCTGCGGAATAGAAGCAAAGGGGAGAAGGTGGACCACACTTGGGTCCATGAAATCTTCCAGGGGACACTAACCAATGAAACCAGATGTCTTACCTGTGAATCTGTATGTTGTTGTTCTTTAAATCCCCCAAAGCTCTTCCTTATCCAACAATAAGCCATTAGAGTATGTTGGTCCATTGATTTCAGTGGGCCTACTCAGAGTATGACTTCTTTTCTTTTTGTTCATTTCTGTCCTGCCTTTCCTTCAATGAGCTCAAGGTGGTATACGTGGTTCCCCTTCCCAGTTTTATCCTCACAACAACCCTGGTAGGTTAGGCTGAGAGACTATAACTGGACTAAAGTCACCCAGTGACCACTCTCCCTTGGTGATGTGTGATTCAGACTTATGCTACCACCTCCTGTGCATGCCTGTTTTTCACTTCTTGATTCCTCATGATCACAGAGGAGGGGTTTTTAGTGTGTGTTGTTTGCAATAATTTACTCTGTTATGGGATACCAGACAGAAGGGGCACAAGGTCCCACAATGATGTAGGAAAGCGGTTTTGCAAGAAGTGTGATGTGTCAGTATTTGATCAGAGGTGAAGAACCTCATCGGGTGAGGGGGGGCGGCAAATCTGGCCCTCCAGGCTTCTCCATCTGGTCCTTAGAACTCTTTCTAGGCCGCATCCATTACCAGACTTGCTTCTCACCATCCTTGAGTGTTTTTGCTTTGCTAGAATGTGCCCTAGCATGCTTGCCTGATGAATGCTAGAAATTCACATTTATTTATTTGCCTTCTTCACCTCTGGCACCACCCACCAGTGCCGTGTGGCCCCCAGAAGGTTGCCCAAATAGAATGTGGCCCTCAGGCTGAAAAACATTCTCCATCCCTGTGGTAAATGCTGGGTAGTCTAGTATGGTGATAACTTTGGTCTTACCTGTTTTATTACATTTTAAGTGTGCACTTCATTCATTCTGGATCCCATAATGGGATACAAATAATATTTAAACAAAACAATTGCTACATCTAACCAATAAAACACAGTTTAAATAAAATAAGGAACACAGCAGCCGCCAAAAAAATTAAAAGAAAAGTGTCAAGCAAACTTTCTTTGCAATGGCCATTAACTACACAGAGACCTTGAACAATCAGATAACTCCAAAGGCTTGGGAGGATGAGTGATTTTTTAAAAAGCAGGTTCCAGAAGCCCAGTAACACCAAGACCATCAAGCTAGGTGATTGGTGGCATGTCTTAGGTAATCCAGCAAAGGCCTTGTATATTTAGCTTCATGGCTAGTATGCTAACGAAATGAAAAAATGAGTCAAATAAGAAGGTATGAATATGTTGACTACTTTGGGGGGGGGGGGAATCTAAGGTAATCCACACCATACATTTAAAGCACATTTCATGCGTATGACTCCCCGCGAAGAAGCTTGGAAAATGCCATTTGTTAATGGTGCTTTGTATTTCAGATCTGTTAAGAGTAAACCACAGCTCCCAGGATTCTGGGAACTGAAAGCCATGTGCTTTAATGTGTGGTGTGGATGTCACCTGTCTAAGATAACCAGGGGAGATTTAAGGTGAGTTCCCCATAGACTGAAGGAGTAGAGCAGCCTTCACCACAGCCTGATACCTTGTTGATGTTTTGGATTGCAGCTCCTATCAGCTGCAGCCGATACCCTGATGGGAATTGTAGTTCAAAATATCTGGAGGCACCAGGCAGGGCACCAGGCGGGCAAAGGCTGGAGTAGACAAATGGCTGTAAGCCATGGCAGCTATATGGAACAGTCAGTGTTATCAGTTTTGCTGGTTTTTGCCATCGTACTTTAGACTTTCTTGATGCATCTGCCTTATCACTCTTGGAAACAGGTTTGAAGTGAAAATCTACTTCACTTGATCCAGCAGGGCTCTTCTTAAGATGCATTTCAGTCTGGAGAAGATTGAAATAGGAACCAGTTAAGTCAGCCAGCCATTAATTTGCATCGTTTCCTGGAACAAATCCAGTCAATCAGCATGTCCTGCATCCAAGGAACTACATGACTTGCTTTGGATGTGTTTCTCAAAGAGTCCCTTCTGCTATATGGTGAATTGCCTTTGAAAACAAGAGATGAGCTTCCAAAGCAGTGTGTGTGTGTGCGCACGCATGCGTACGTGTGTGGGACTCCTAAAATAGCTCTCTAGATCCTGACCTATTTCGGAAAAGTAAAGTCCTAAGCAGAGGGGGGAATCTCGAGTGGGCTTTTAAACTTAATGTGCTTTAAAAATAGCATTGGTTTTGATACCTGCTCCATTCTAAAGGGATCTTCTCAGCCGACATGGCGCAGGTTGTGAAAATTTGGTTCTGCGGCAATTGCCTGTCGCCAATGCAAGGCTTTCCAAAGGCCAAACTAAATATAACCCCACTCACACAATCAACAGTTATGTGAATGGTTTGTTTTTTTAAATATAAATAGCAATCACAGGTGAGCTGAATTCAGAGCCAATCAAGGGAGTAGTGGGGAGGGGTTTAAACCTGACCATGCCCAGCTGCAGTCCCTGTCCGGGTCGGATGGGGGAAGTTGCACGTGCCTTTGCACTGGAAAGAAGGCTTCCATTTGCACCAATGGAATTGCTGATTGGACAAATAGTGTTCTGCTTAGATTGTCATTTTATATGGGGAGGTGTTCTGAGTGGATGAAACTACATGTAGCCTGCAACTGCCCCTTATTTTGAGAAGAGGCTGAGCAGCTATCTGGAAGATTCGGGACACATAAAAGGAAGTATTCCTATGCAGTGCATAGTTAAACTATGGAACTCACTCACACAAGAGGTGGTGATCGTCACCAGCCTGGATGGGTTTAAAAGAGGAATAGACAGTTTCATGGAGGAAAGGCCTATTGATGGCTATTAGCCATGATGGCTGTGCTCTACCTTCACAGTTAGAGGTAGCAATGCTTCTGAATACCAGCTGCTGAAAGCCACAGGAAGGGACTGTGCTCTTGTGCTCAGATCCTGCTTGCTGGTTTCTCACAAGAATCCTGTCTGGCCACTGTGAGAATAGGATGCTGGACTAGATGGGATCCTGGCCTGATCCAGCAAGCTCCTCTTATGCTCTTATCTTCAGCAGTCTTCAACCTTTTCAGACCTGAAACCTTTAACTCCAACCAGCAATGTGAAGCTTAGACTGGAAAGCCATTTGCAGCTTCCCATTGTGGCTACACAGATTCCTCTAGGGCAATTGCCGTGAGGGCAATAGCCCGCCTCCTGGTTGGTTGGTTTGTTTGTTTGTTTGAGCACCAGATTTAAAATACAATAGCTTCTGAACATGGAAGTTTTATGACAGCAGGGAGGGGAACTAGTCAGGGATGAAGGGAGTTGAAGTCCAGCAATTGATCCAACATGTTCTCCAGTATATGAAGAGAGGCAATAAGAGGCAGCATGGGGCTCAACATTGATTCTTTAGCATCTTTTAATTATTCCTTGTCTTTATTTCTCACTGCAGACATACCAGTTTGACAGTCATTCCTTCTCTGCAGGAAAACCCTAGGAATTGTAGTGTGGTGGCAGGGGAGCAAACTACAATCCCTGGGGTTTGCAGGGGGCAGGGAGAGTTATGTTACGTAATTTTGTTGTCTGTTTCTTCCTTGCCTTCCTTTCTTCCCTGGCTTTCTGTTTATCTCTTTAAAAAAATAAGGATGAAAAATTAATAAAAAAACAAATGTTAGTGGAACTGGTATGCCCCTACTGAGGTCAGGTGATGACTAATTTGGGGGTTGCAACCCATTAATAGAAAGCCAGTGGTCCATAGCTGCCTTCCTCAGTCTAATACCCTCCAGATGTTTGAGATTACAACTTCCGTCAGCCCCAGTCAGTATCTGGAGGCTGTCAGGTTGGGGAAAGCTGATCTATAGCATATGAATTTGTATTATAAGCTGTGGTATTGATTTATGAGTGCGAGAGGATGCTGGGTGTCAAATGATGCTTGACTGCATGAGATCAAAGAGCCGTGTCCATCATTCTCTGCAGTATTGCCAAGGATTCTTGGGCACTCCTGTTTGGTGCTCCCCTTCCTACCACTTGTCATTGCTTCTGTGGCCACCCCTTCTCATACTTCCTTTTGAGTACAGGCAATCCTCATTCTGTGCGGGGGTTCTGCGTGCATTGGCGGAGTTTGCATAAGCCCGCTTGCCCCCACTCTGTCCCTTTGCATGATGTTTTTGTGGTGTTTGGGGGCTACCTCCAGGTTTGGCAGTGTGCGCGATTGCACATTATTCTGACATGCCTAAACCGGAAGTTGCCTGTATTAAAGATGTCTTCTTTCTTAAACTTGGAACATGACTACTAACCATGGTGGCTGTGCTGTGCCTCCACAGTCAGAAGCAGTGATGCTTTTGAATAGCAGTTGCCGGAAACTGCAAGAGGGGAGTGTGCTTTTGTGCTCGCATCCTGTTTGTAGATTTCCCACAGGCACTTGGTTTGCCATTGTGAGAATAGGATGCTGGACTAGATGGACCAGTGGTCTGATCCAGTAGACTTTTCTTACGTTTTAGCATTTCTAAACTTGCTTATTTTTATTCCACTTACACTGCCTCTTTTTTTCTTTTCAAGGTTAGCAGCAAAGATGAGGACTTTCTGGACCTTTCAATTGATGTGGAACAAAATACATCAATAACACACTGTTTGAGGTATTTTTTTTTAAAAAAAAACCCAAACACCTCAAGAGCTTCCCAGATAAGCACTTGTGTAATGCTGTCAATATATGACACTTTACAGGAGCCTTTTGCTAACCTCCGGATCATAGAATCCTAGAATTGAAGAGTTAGAAGGGACCCCAAGGGTCTAAGCCAGTCCCTTGCAGTGCAGGATTTACAACTTAAAAATCCCTGGCAGGTGACAATCCAACCTCTGTTTAGAAACAGCCAGTGATGTTTTGGCAATGGTTGTGCTAGCTGGAGTTGATGGGAGTCATAGTCCAAAATGTTTGGAGGTCGTCATGAATACTGTTTTACTGAGTGATGTCATTAAAAAGTTGTATCCTTCCCCAAGGAACATATCCTCTAAATTTTGACAGATGGGTGGGGTGGGGAGAAAAGCCAGAGTCCCCATAGCAAGCATGTTGGTGACTTGTGCAGGTCAATTATTATTATTATTTTATTTATTTAATTTCTATACTGCCCGATATCTGAAGGTCTCAGGGTGGTTCACATAAAATATCAAATACATAAAATCAAAACAAAACCAACAACCCAATCAAAAACAAAAACTGCAAAGAGCCAGCATTTTAAAAAAGGGTATAGGATGTAGATCAAGTCAGACAAAGGCCTGGTTGAAAAGGAACACTTTTGCCTGGCTCCTAAAGATGTATAGTGAAGGCACCAGGCGAACTTCCCTGGGGAGAGCATTCCATAGATGGGGAGCCACTGCAGAGAAAGCCCATTCTCGTGTTGCCACCCTCCTGACCTCTTGCGGAGGAGGCACATGAAGAAGGACCTCAGAGGATGATCTCAGGGTCCGGGTAGGTTCATATGGGAAGAGGCAGTCCTTGAGAAAGTTTGGTAGTTCACCATACCTCAGCCAGTGTGATGTATCAGCAGAGCATACAGAGCCCCAGCAGAGTCTTCAGAGATTTCCTGCTCCCAGCAGAACAGCTTCCAGAGTCCCCAGATACAAAGCATGGTGAAACAGTACTATCTTCTATATAAAGTTCTTCTGGGCTTTGAAGTAAAGATAACATGTGTACGGATAAATCTGCTAGCACTACCACCATGTAAAAACCACAGCCTCTTTTCTTGACTCTCACAGATTCAGAGTTGGATCCTGACAGCATCAGGACAGAACATGGACCTCAGGACATACACAAGACATACTGAAAGCTAGAGATTATTATACCCATCTCTACACGTACCAATGGGAGGGTGAATGACTCGGCACCCTTATCTCAGAGCATCCAGACGTAGGGGATGTGCTTCCTCCAGACATGAGCCCAAGCACTGTCATTTAACCCATTGTTCACATCACACCAATGAAGGGATGAAAACGAGCAAGTTCACTTATGCTAGAAATGGGAAGCCTTGGGAACATAGGAAGTCACCTGGGGCTCCTTTGGAAGGAAGGGCAGGATATCAGTTCAGTCAATCAGGTAATCATCTGCCTTCTACTGAGTTGAGTAACAGGGCTGGACATGAATGTGACAGCACTCTGTGGTTTCCAGCTGCTGATATTACTGCCTCCGACTGGAGGCAGAGTGTAGGCATTGTGACTAGTAGCCATTGATAGCATTACCCTCATCCAACACATTATTGCCTGTGCAGACTAGTAGTGGTTTCCACAGGTCTTATATCTCAGCTCTCATTGGAGTTGCTGGGATTTGAGTTACAAGTTCCCTATCCCTGTGGTGCAGAAATGTGAGGAATGGAGCCTTAGGAACATGTGGCAGAATAAATCATGTGACAGAGGAAGCTTCAGCCTCATCCTGCCGGGTGTCCAGTTTGTGGGCCGGATGGGATGTGAGTTTTCTCCCGCGAACCTGAGTTTGCTATAGTATAAATAAAAAACAGATTTATTTATCTCATAAAATTTATACACTGCTTGATTGTAAAACAAAACAATGTGGTTTACAAAACAAAACAAAAAAATATGAAAAGGAATTGACAACAATAATTTAAAACTTTCAAAAAATTAAAATTATCAATAAATTGAAAACAAAACTTGCACCACCTTTCTAAATATCTAGGTAGGCTTGTCTAAATAAAAGTGTTTCTAGCAGGTGCCAAAAAGAGTACGGTACAGGCGCCTGCCTGATATCAATAGGCAGGGAGTTCCAAAATGGAGGTGCTGCCACATTAAAAGATTTTAATGTATTTTTAATCTTTGTTGGAAGCTGCACAGAGTGGTTGGGGAAACCCAGCCTGATGGTGGGGTATAAATAAATTATTATTATTATTATTATTATTATTATTATTATTATTAAGTGCTTACAAATGCGGAGCAGGTATTAATGTGGCACCTGAAACAGTGCCAGTTCCACCAATTGAAATGGTTGAGTGGGCGTAAATGGGGTAAGGCACTCTCATAGGTAAACTGCTCCCCAATATGAGGTATGATCAAACAGGAGTTCTTGGTTGGTGGTGAAACGCCTGAATGTGCTAACTCAGTGGTTGCCAATTGGTGGTCCATGTAACCCACCCAGGGGGCCTGTGACACATACCTGTCAATTGTCCGGAACATCCTGTTTTGGGCGGCTGTGCTCTTGTGTAGGTCACATGACTTGCACAGGAGCAAGGTGCAGAAGACTCACATCCTGGTTTTGCACTGGGACTCATTGAATGCTGTTCACATAACAAAAACTATGACAGAGATACCAACATTTTCAAAAGTAGGGGATCCATGGCTTTGGCTTTTGAAAAATGGGATTCGCAGTACTTGGCTAATTGCCCTAACTACCCTAACTCTGATTTAACTTCCCATTTTTACAGGAAATTCAGTAATTCTGAGACTCTGTGCAGTGATCAAAAATACTACTGTGAGCAGTGTCGCAGCAAACAGGAAGCGCAAAAGAGGTAAGCCTAAAAGCTATTGGTTGTTGCATTTTTATGTCACTTTTCTTCCAATCTACTCAAGGCAGTAGGCATGGTTCTCCATCCCCTTTTGTTCTTACAATAGCCTTGTGTGATAGATTAGGATAAGAAAAAGTGATAGAAAAGTCCATTCGGAATCCGAACTTGTGTCTTCCTTTGTCCAGCACTTTAATCATTAAACCACCCTGGTTCTCAATAAAAATAAGATATGTTGGTTACAGTTCTCTTTTGTTTGAATTAGGGACAATACATTATATAGAGAGCCAGGTGTGTCTGCTGCAATACTATGAGTACAGAAAAACACCAAACATGATATTGCATGTTTACTGCTTTGATGGTGGTGGTGGTGGGAACTCTCCATGCTACAAAGCAGCACTTATTTCAAAGCAACTGCAGTTTGGAACAATTTGTATTCCCTAGACTTTCTGTTGCTGAACCCCACTTTTTTTGCTTGCTTGTGGGGTGCCCCACTTTTGTGATGGATTTCTTGAAACTATGCCTGCTGAAATCTCAGGTGCTGGAAGGATGACTAAACTAAGTTTCCAATAGCCAGGCATTGGTTGAGGGTGCCCTGAAGAAGCTCTGTGCATGACTTTCAGAATCTGAATCAATTGTTCAAACCTATTTTATAAAAGGTGATGAATGATTTATGCAAAATAAGAGACTTAACTCAGCAAGTTGCAGAATTTAGCAGGTACAAAACTTCGTATTCTTGATGCAGAGTGTTTGAAGGTTTACATCTGTAGGCTGCGACCCTGATAAGCTTCATCCTGTGTGACTTATGTAAAAGAAAGCTGTCATGTCTCAATACAAAGCAGGAACATATTTTGTGTTTTGAAGCAGAGCCAATCAAATATCTTCTGTTCAATATTTTCTCCTTTTGGAAAATGCCGACTGATAACCTGCAAAAACAAATTAAAGCCATCTGACTTGGATGGTTGGGTAAGAGTAAGTGTTACCACTTTTGCCTCCTACTTTTCTCACGGATACAGGAGAAAATCAATTGTTCTTATTTCTTAGTCAATAGCAGCCAGAGCCAAAAGGCAGAGTTCATTCTTTCTTCTGCTTTCCTTGTTGTGATGAGAGACGGATGCTTTTGGGCCATATAAGAAGTTGCTTTGAGTCCAGATGCTCCATAATGCTCTTTCTCAGCCTTCACCAACCTTGTGCCCTCTAGATATTTTGCACTCCAACTTCCATCAACCTCAGCCAGCACAAGAGGGCTTGTAGGCTGAGGCTGATGAGAGTTGTAGTTCAAAACATCTAGAGGGCAGCAGGTTGGCAAACAGCCTCACTGATTCTTCCCAATGTTGCACAAAAGAGGCACTGAGAAATGTTTCAGATTTGCTAATATTGAAAAAGCTATCCATTTATTTGAATAACTTACCATGTTTACTGTTTTAAACAATCTTTCTTAGAATTCAGAGTGATTTCATAACATGGATTCCACCCTCCACCATCTCATTCTCTTTTGGTCTTATTTTGTGGACCTAGGATGCGAGTGAAAAAGTTGCCCATCATTCTTTCTCTGCACTTGAAAAGATTCAAATACATAGACCACCTGCATCGATATACCAAACTTTCCTACCGTGTAGTCTTTCCTTTGGAGCTTCGACTCTTCAACACTTCAGGAGATGCTTCAAACCCAGATAGGATGTATGATCTTGTGGCTGTAGTTATTCATTGCGGCAGGTAAACTATGAGGGATCACATTCATACCATGTGATATAGCATTTGCTATGTATTTGGGGAAAATATTTGTTCTCTGTCTGTTTGGAGACATTCTGCTTGTGGGCTTCCCATAAGCGTTTGCTTGGCCGCTGTAGGAACAGGTGCTGGACTGCATGTCTCTTTGGTCTGTTCAAGCTTTCTCTTACTTCATTGGTGGGGAGAATGTGGCCCTCCAGATGTTGCAGAACTACAGGTTCAAGATAATTCGCCTATGATAATTGGTTCCCTGATCATTTTGGCTGGGAGTTGTGGTCCAGCAACACCTGGAGGAACACAAGAGTGTCTTGCATGTCCTCTATTACAAGTCTTCTCTCAAAACACTTTAAAGGAAATCTTCCTACAGCTTTCACCTCTCTTCTCTTGTGCAAAGTAGTCCCCCTCTTGTTCATTCTGCTTCTGCTCTTTGCTACCTGTCTTCACCAGCTGATGGCACTTCCCATAGGATGGTCTACCCTCAGAATTATGGAGTCTGGTGGATTCCTGAATGCTCTGGGGGATTTCCCAGCTGACATGTTGAGACTCTCATCACATTGTGGAATGGTGATGTATGTGGAGCTATCAGCATGATCTCTCCTGAGTGTACTCACTTTTGCTGTGGAGCACATAGGTTGTCTTTGTACTTTAGTGACCTGCATGTCTGAGGATGAAGACCAGCTTGAAGAAGTGTGGTTGACCACCTACCCCCTTGACCATCTTGGCTTCTTAAAGTTGGCCATAGTAGATAGACTGGGTGGGTCCAGGGAGTGATCAGTGCTTCATTTGAGGAGGGAGAGGTACCACCCACTCTGAACTTCCTTAGAACCTCCTTAGAACCTCCCTCTACCTGGAAGTGTTAAGCAACCATTAAAAAGGTAAAGGACCCCTGACAGTTAAGTCCAGTTGCGGACGACTCTGGGGTTGCGGCGCTCATCTTGCTTTACTGGCTGAGGAAGCCAGCGTTTGTCTGCAGACAGTTTTTCCGGGTCATGTGGCCAGCATGACTATGCCGCTTCTGGAAAAACCAGAGCAGTGCATGGAAACGTTGTTTACCTTCCCGCTGGGGCGGTACTTGTTTACAAATATCCCTTTTTGAGACAAGGGTACTTGAGAGGCTGGTGTTGGTCCAGCTTCAGGCATGCTTTGAGGAGACTGAATATCTGGATCCATTTCTGTCTTGCTCTGAAACTGCCTCAGTTGCCCTGTTTGGTGACATTGTTGATGGATTGGCTCAAAAAAGTGAGACTTGAGCACACTGTACTTCAATAGTTTTCTCATATCTTCAGGGGCATTTCCACAAAGTAACTATGGTAAGCTATGTTTGACACTGTGGGAGCTTTCCTGCGATGTCTTGCAGGGTTCTTGCAGGGATATGTGGATGACACCCATCGCTATCTGTCTCTCCCATCTGAGTCAGGAGAGGTGGCTGAGGTGCTATACTGGTGTTTGGAGGTATTGGTGGGTTGGATGTGGACCAAGAAATAGAAACTATCCTGAAAAGACAGAGATGTTATGTGTTCCAAATTCTCAAGTCAAGGACGTGGGAAGATGGCTTGCTCTGGACAGGGTTGCACTTCCGTGGAAGGAGCAGGTTTGTAGCTTGGGTGTACTGCTGGATTCAACATTATCACTTGAGGCTCAGATGGCCTCAGTGACTAGGAATGCCTACTTCCAGCTGCTGCTGGTTTGCCAACTACAACCCCTTCTAGACAGCGATGACTTAACCACTGTACTCCATGCTCTGGTAACTTCCAGATTGGATTATTCCAATATGCCCTTAAAGACAACTCATAAACTTCATCTGGTTCACAATGCTCCAGCCAGATTACTGGCTGGGCTTCCCTATAGAACTCATATAGCCCCTGTTCTAACACAGCTGCATTGGCTGCAGGTTTGTTTCTAGGCCTAGTTCAATGGGCTCACACTAGTGTTTGAAATGCTAATTGACTTAGGCACCAAATGACCCTCTCCTTCCCTACAGACTCACTCCGGGCGTAAAATCAGCAGAGTACCTGGTAGTTTGTCTTGGTAGTTCTACTGCCCTCAGAAGGGGTGGCGGTTGTATCCCTGCAGAGGGCATCAGCTCTGGCAACCCCTAAGTTGTGGAATTTCACATTTCAGGAAATGTGAAAGAGGCACCTCTTTGCTATGGCTTGAGATGTATGTTTTCAGGATGCACACTAAGCCTGTGCTTGTAGTTTGTTTTAACTGTTTTTAATACTGATTTTTTAAATTGTTGTCACCCACCCCGGGCCCTGCTAGTGAAGGGCAAGTAATAAATGTGGTTGTGATACTAGTAATAATAATAAGTCTGCATCTCAGAGGGTAGCTCACTAGGGAATAGCTGCTCAGGACTGCAGGTGACAGATGACTGATAACTATTTTATATGTTACAGTAGCTTAATGTGTTCCATCTCATTTGTACAATCAAGGAAGAGTTCTCAATTTGTTTTTAAAAAGCAAAAAACTATTGTTGGATTTCCCCCACTCCCTGCCGCCCCCTACAGTAATTTAAGACATTTGCTTGATGCACACACAAATTATACATGAATTAATGTTTTCGACTGATCGTTTAGAAATGCTGAGTTATTTGTAGAAGCCAGGTGTAGGCTGCTCCCATCTTCTCTGAAAAGGAAATTGAAATAAAATCTATTATTGGAACAATGAAATTATTTAAAGCAGTATAGTTTGACCAAATGTTTTTAAAGGTTTATATTTTCATGGAGTCAGCGCCACCTGGTGAGAATTCATCAGCACCGAGTTAACAAGGATAGCCAATTAAAAATGGCAAAAGGGAGCATTACCTGCACATAGGAGGCTACCTTAGACATGGTCAGAATGTTGGTCAATCTAGTTCAGTCGTGATTGCACTATCTGGCAGTGGCTCAGGAGTTCCTCTCAGCCCTGCCTGGAGATGCTGGGGGTTGAGTCAGGGGCCAGCAGCATCCGAAGCATGTGTGCTGCTGTTGAGTCACACAGCCCTTTCCCAAAGAACAGTAAATGGCAGTGAGAAGGGTTGCAGCCTAACCTCTACCCTGACTAGTTTGCCCTGCACATGAAATGTTTTCGTTTGGAGGGCTGTTCAGTCTTGTGAACCGCCATCTGCTTGAAGTGGTAGAGCATAGACACAGATTCCCAGGTTGCTAAGAATTAGGCCTACATTGCTGTGTGGATCCTTAAAACACACTTAAAAAAAACCTGTAGGTTTCGGTGACAACCATTAATGTATGATATTAATATACCACCTGTCTGACTGGGTTGCCCTAGCCACACTGGGCGACTTCCAACAAATTAAAACATCACAGTAAAACATAAAACATTAAAAACTTCCCTCTACAGGGCTGCCTTCAGATGTCTTCTAGTTGTATAGTTGCTTCTTTATTTGACATCTGATGGGAGGGCGTTCCACAGGGCCGGTGCCACTGCTGAGAAGGCCCTCTGCCTGGTTCCCTGTAACCTCACTTCTCACAGGGTGGGAACCATCAGAAGGTCCTCAGTGTCCAATGGAGGTGGAAATGTTCCTTCAGGTATACAGGGCTAAAGGCTTTACAGGTCAGCACCAACTTTTTCGTTTTGTTCCAGTGGTCCAAACCGTGGACATTACATCACCATTGTGAAGAGTCATGGTTTTTGGTTGCTGTTTGACGATGATATTGTAGAGGTATGTCGATATATTATGCCACCTTCTCACACTCTGGTGATAACTCTTACGGTGTCTTGGATGTAAGTCATTGTCACGACACATTATTTAGGCGTTTAACCTTCACTGGTGAAAAGTGGAGCTGCTTTTACCAGTCCCATAAACACTTTTGGTGGGTGGTTATTTTGCTGTTGTTTTCTCATTCTTTTCCACTGATGGTCACAGAAGAATAAGGGTTAAAAAGAGTCGGGGAGAGAAAGAGTCTTAAGAGATCTGCCACCGGGTGCTTTTGCATAGCAACAAGTGCAGAAGTCCTGGATGGGCTTCATAAGTAAGCAAAGAGCAGGATGGGGAAGGGAAGGAGAAGGGAGGCAAAAATTAATAAAGTTCCATCTTGAAGGCTGGGGTTCAGTGCAGGTCCTGGAACAACTGAAGTCAAGTGATACAGGTGGTGATGGTAATCATCTGCCCTGACTTGAAGGTGGTTGATATTGAAAAGTGATTAAATTATTACAGACTCTGTTGGTTGCCTTGTTAAAGGCAACAGCATAATTTTAAACGTCTCTTCTAACCATAGTGTGCAAACCCACTTCAAAGCATGTGTTCAATCTCTCATTTACAAAGGAATTGTGACTTGCATTTAAAATGGTTTACATAGATGCACAGGTAGTGCAAAATCCCAGTTAAATATCCAGAATAAAAGAGGATGATCACCCTGGAGTGGGGGAAAGGGAGGGACTGTTTCGTTCCTGTCCAGTTCCAGATTTGCCAACCAGAGTACCCATGTTACATCTGCACTTGACAAAATTGATCCCATTTACTGTCCACTGTCCACTGAGATCAGCGGTTCTCAATCTGTGGGTCCCCAGATATTGTTGTACTACAACTCCCATCATCCCTGACCACTGGTCATGCTGGCTAGGAATGATGAGAGTTGTAGTCCAACAACATCTGGGGACCCACAGGTTGAGAAACACTGGTCTAGATCATGTTTTCTCTTCCCTGTTTGATTGGAGCAACATCTGTTGACGTCTAGACATAGCAGTCAATGGGTCAGAGTGCTGTCACTATTCACTGCTTTCCACCAGAGAGACAAAGGAGGCCATTTAGAAAAGACACTCTGAGTCAACACAGAACTTGTACTTCTAAGTTTCAAGGCTATGAAGATGTAACTTTTCCAAAAATACAGTATTGATCCTGCAGTATTCTTGATATTAGGGCAAGGAACATAAGGGTGTTGGTTGCCATGAGACTGATGTGTTTTCACTTCCAGAAGCCAATAGTTTCGCCAGCAGCGTCAAAGTGTTTATCAGATTGTGAAAAATAGCTGCGGAAACAGGAAGAAGTTGTTTTCATGCCCTGGCTATTTTTTCTTAAGAACTGCTGTTGAAAGGACTGGCAATGAAAATTGGAACCCATTTCCTTTTCACTTCTTAGTCTGAACGATTTTTTCATGTGTGGGGAAAGTTCTGTTTGTTTAAAGGAAAAGATATTGCAACCAAGCTGTGTGGTTAATTAAGTGGCTTATTGTTGGGTGGGGAGGGGAGCCCTCCACAATTTAGCCACTTGTCAGGGTTATGGGTCCCTCAGGTTTCCCCTATCTGTTCTTCATTTTTATTACAGAATTAGTAATCAGCTGGTTGGTTGATGGGTTGTGGAAAGGCCTCTGCTCCCAGGGACCACAGTGTATTCTAGATCTGACGCCAATAACCCCGTAGAGACAGAGCTTAGCCTCCTTTCTTTCTTTCTTTTCTCTTATATGGGTCTGTCTCCATATCGTTCGAGGACCACATCTTCCACGTTCCTTATCAAGCCATAAGTACAGTGTGTACCCTTCCCTTTGCCGTGGCACCTGCCTACCTATCTTGAGTTTCCCCATTGACATTTGTGGCATGGGTTGCTGCCAGTCTGGTCCCCTGGGGCTAGGTTGGTTCTGGGGTTCCCACTAGGGTGAGTCATCAGATCACTCTGGAGGACAGCTGTTCTTGCTCCTTTTTCTTTTAGAAATGGAATTCCGTGTCTCCAGGTATTCTTTGTCAGTGTTATAGTTTCTGTTAGGGTGTCGTTGGCAAGCCTTGGTGCTCTAGGGTCACCATCTGGATCCTGCTCCACATTGAAAGTGACAAATGCCTGGATGGGATGGAAGAATCCTCCCACCACTGCCTGTCTGAGTCCTCAGAATCCCAGTTTCTCTCCCCAGATTTATGTGTCACCAAATCAGTAACTGCATCTGCTGTTTTATTGATGGCTACATATCCGTCCAGGATCTGAGTTGGTCTCTGCTGGATTGCATTGGAATATATTGTATCCAGCTCCCCCAGTACTACTATAGCTGGGCTCCTGAACCACTTTTCTCAGGAATCCTTATCTTGGTATCAAACAGGTAGGGGTGCAATGGATCTCTTGAACCATTAGCCTCTGCTAGTGCATTTAAAGTCCCAGCAGACCTACCATGACTTTTCCACAGCCTCACTGCCCATGTGAGCCAGAAGACTGTTCATTCTGTCAGTGGCTCTATTTCCCTGGTTAGGGCCTGGATCTGAGTAGCTGTCATTGGTCTAATTCGAGTAATGACTTCTTGTTGCTGTATTATGAGCCCTGTGTTGGCTCATCTTTTCCCAGCTGCCTTTTCTGTTTTTCTTTGTGATGTTCTCTGAGTGCTCTCAATTTTTATTTAATCATCTTCTCCTTTTTCTCCCTAGTAACTTGCCTCCCAGCACCTGCTAGTATCTCCTGACGTGACTTGTCTGATTCCTCCTGAATTTGTTGGATGGCTTATATCATATCCTCTGCTACCCAGTTGATTCTGTTAAATCAGACATTGGTATCAGTTGCCTGCCTTCCATCATTACTCAGGACATTGAGAGCCTGGTTATGCCTTCTGCTGTTTTTGTCCAGTCTTTGACTTGTTTTTGCTTTGGCCCAACAGGAGGTTGGCAAGGATCTGAATCACAGGTCTGCTCCTGTGGTGCAATCATTGCAAGTCCCAAATGCCCACATCCCTTTTCACCTTCATATATGAACATTTCAAAGAATCATAGAAGTGTCACCTAGCACAACCCCTGCAATGCAGGAATCACAGCTACAGTATCCCTAGCAGAATGGCCATCCAACCTTTGTTTAAAAACCTCCATGGAAGGAGAACCCACCACCTTCTGAGGGAGTCTGTTCAACTGAACAGCTCTTAATGTGAGAAACTTCTTCATAAGGTTTAGTCAGAATCTCATTCTGTGTTAATTTTAATCTATTGGTTTGGGTCCTACCCTCTGGAGCAGCATAAAACCAGCTCACTCCATCTTCCACATTACAACCCTTCAGATATTTGAAGACTGCTATCATACCATCTCTCAATCTCCTCTCCTGCCCGCTAAACATACGCAACTCCCTCAACCGTTCCTCCTAAGGCTTGGTTTCCAGACCTTTTGTTATCTTGGTTGCCTCCTCTGCAAACCTTCCAGCTTGTCAATATCCTCCTTAAACTGTGGTGCCCAGAACTGGTTGGTGAGATCCGACTGTGCCTTCGGGTCCTAATATGTCTAATAAAGAATAGTGTTGGCTATGAGAAACAGTGCTCCCAAGTTTATTTAACACATCTTTTAAGAATATAAAACCTCAATATTGGTGGTACTTACTAATACAACATAGATTTGGACAGAAATGGAAACCCCAGCTTGGCAACCATGGGGCTTGATGAAAAGATGGGGCCACCATCACATCCACAGGTCTGCCTCTTGTGCTAGGGCAGAAGGCAGGGAACGGGGCAGGCAGACAAAATGCTGTGAACCTGAAGCTGGCATGGTTTTTTAGTCCCAGATGAGTCTTGGATGTATCATGTGCTGCTCTGGGTCCTGTGCATCCCAGGCTAACTCAGGCCCTTCACACACCTTGTTTCTGGGGTTTCCATCCATGCATTTGCCCAATCCAGCCCACCCCAGTGCAAAAAAGGGGGGGGGGCTGTTGGATTGTATCCATCAAACCCAAAATCTACTTTTGCACTGTAGATCAATACTAACAGTTTTCTTTATATTTTTGGGTTTCTGAAGAACTGTGCTAGCTATGATAAATTAAATGTCTGCTTGTTTTTTACCTATACATCCAAATGTTACCTTCTATTACCGTATGGGCCTTATCAATGAAATGGATTTAGCACTGGTGATAAATCCTCCTGTGACGAAGTCTCCTCCTCCAGACTCTCCTCTTCTACCGCCACAGGCAGCTGTCTCACCGGTTCCACAGAACCACACAAATCACTGGCCCTCCCCTTAGATTATTCTTCCCACCTGCCTCCTCTGCACACACATGCCTCTACTCCTCGGGCTCCTGCCCATTGCTGACATGGAGAATCTAAAGGAATGCATTTCCTTTAACTTTTTCAAATACATTTAAATTAAATTGTAATAACAAGCAGGTTACAGGGGAAAAAAAATATGAAAGTAAAATCAGTTTTTTTGTTTGTTTTTTAAAAAAGAAAAGATAAGCTGTCACAATGCCAGTAAGTAACTACAAGGTAGAATTAATGCAATTTACTGTTGATAATAGACCATCTTAAGAGGGAAAGGATGCATGGTCTCTAATTACAAAGAGTTCCATAGCCTAAAGCAAAATACAGTGGTACCTTGGGTTACATACGCTTCAGGTTACAGATGCTTCAGGTTACAGACTCCGCTAACCCAGAAATAGTACCTTGGGTTAAGAACTTTACCTCAGGATGAGAACAGAAATCTCATGGCCACGGCGCAGCAGCAGCGGGAGGCCCCATTAGCTAAAGTGGTACCTCAGGTTAAGAACAGTTTCAGGTTAAGAACAGACCTCCAGAACGAATTAAGTTCTTAACCCGAGGTACCATTGTAGCTTTTCTAAGATTATTTTCTAAGTTTCTATAGAAATTGAAAGCTTTTATATTTTAAAATGAGCCCCCTTTTTAATTAAAGTCCTGCTTGATTAATCAGTGGTACCTTTTTAGGCTAGGAAATATTTGTTTTTGAACATTTTTTGTTCTTCTGTAGTATACTTAGGGGTAATGTGTGGCTAATAATCCAAATTAAATAGCTGGTTGCATAATCCCAGTGAATTTTCCAAGTCTTTTAATTCTGATGCAGTCTCTCTGTGACCACCACCACCACCTCCCAGAAATATTTTGCTGAATTTAAAGGGGGGGGAGAGACACTAAGTGAGATTCAACAGGTAGTGATGTTATTTCCCCCTCCTTAATCTTCTTGTTGTCTTAAATTGCAGAAAATTGATGCTAAAGCAATTGAAGAATTCTATGGAGTAACACCGGACGGTTCCAAAAACTCAGAATCTGGATATATCCTCTTCTATGAATCAAGGCACTAAGTCAGTGCACTTTGAAGCATCTTGCATGTTTTCAGAAAAGGAACCAAGCCCCTGCTCAGATAGGACATTGTAGTGATAGTAAAATCAATACCTCATCATTGCCATAGGACCACAGGACGTCACCAGGACATAAACTGGGACATTTTCTCAAGGACGACAACTGCCATTAGCAAGAAGGCATCTTGCTTTGGGTTTCTTTCTGGGCTATTTTATACTTGTTATCTTCCCAAATCTGTGTTACCTCTACTTGAAATATGCCTGCTTGAACATTCAAGAACCAAGGAAATATTTTTTTGTTTTTCAGTAGCATTATACAGTTAGTTCATCATTCAGGGTTGATGGCCTGAGACTGTCCCTTGGTTTCTATTTCTCCTGTTTTTTTTCTGTATTCTAGCAGAATGATTTCAGTCTTCAGTGTCAGCTCAAGACCTGTTTTAGGGTGTGAGTTGCAGAAAGTTGCTGACTGCTATTGGTGGCCCAAAACAGGATTGCTGCCAGATTAAATTGTATTGGAAATATCATGCCTTTAATTCTGTGTGTTGCAAAAAAGAAAAGAAAAAGTTGTTCCTATAGTGTTGTGAATTTCCTCAAAGGGTAGCATCTTGATTTCAGACAACACTATTCTTATTCTTCATTTATCCCCACTTTGTTTTTCCCCAAAATCTTATTGAAATGTTATTTTTATGTGTTTTATAATGTATTCGCTACTCAAAGCCGCAATATTGCAGAATCTAAAGGAGCAAAAAGTAGATGGAAGTCTTTGAGGACCTGTAAGCTGAATTGATTGTATTTCTTGGAGCTCTTATATAAGCCAAAAGTGCCCTCTACTGAAAATAGATATATTTGTTGTTTGTTTCAGCGTATAACAAACTCTACCCACACAAACAAAAAGGCAGTTTTTGGAATGAATCTACATTCTATAAGTACCTATTAAGAGGCAACACTAATTCTGAGAATTAATGAACAAATCATCCTTGTTTTGGAAACGGTGGGAGTTTAAGAAGAAATAACTGAGGTCAACATGTACCGATACCTTGAGAAGTATCCAATTTAAGTGGATTTAAGTGGACCATGTATAATTGCCGAGTTCTTGATTGGCTGCTGCTTCAACAGAAAAACAAGGCTGTCTCATGAAGACTGAATTTCACTTAGTGTCTGTTTACCAGATCTGCTGACCCTGTTTATCCTGCCACCTGAATTGGTCACCACTGTGCCTCCTGGGTGGGGTGGTCCAGGGTCCAGTGACCAGTTTTGGCTATGGGGAGTCTTTGTTGTGCCTAAATTGACATTCTCACCTGAAATGGCTTCCCAGCATGTTCAAGTGGAGGGAGACACTTTGAGCAGTCCTCTAAAAACATCAGGATTGCCTCCATTGTAGCAATGGGAAACATGCGCAGCAGCTCCTTGTAAGCGTTAGAGCACATGGAACTCTGTACTGGGACACATGAGTGGAAATGGAGATTCAGCCTTCCATTTGGTTGTAACATTAAAGCCACCTCTGCTTGTCCCAAAGCAGCCCTCCGTATCATGCTCACTGTCAAGGAGGAGGAGATCTACTTAATTGCAATTCCATAACTTGTGCTCTGGCTCCACCCCCCCCCCAAAAAAACCCCAACCATTATGTGCAAACATCACGTCACATTCTCTTAATGTCTTCTTACACAATTGTCTCCCCGGCAGAATTCTGCTAGCAACAAATTCTGCAATTAAAAACGGACAAACTGTCAGGTTTCAGTATTCACACTTCAACCACTTCAGGGAGAAAACTGATGTTGCCTAATATATTAATGCCCAAATATGCAAAAGTAATCTTTTCTTCAGAGGTTGTCATCACTAATAAAATAAGTCTTTGACAACTGGCTCTTGATAATGCGTTACATGTGAATGTTCTCTTGGCTAGAAATCCACCCGTAAAGACCCAAAATGGGGCCGTTAAGCAAAGCCTGTCATCTTGTAGGTCTTCGGAGGAAGGTCACAGGTGTGAAGGCACGCACTAAACAGCAAATGGCAGAGTAATGTAGGAGAACATAAGGCAGAACATAGGACCACTCACTTCTATTTTGTATAATTGGTGATAATCCTTTTACAAATAAAACGCCTTGTAAGAAATAGAAAATATTAAGAGATATATATACTATAGATTAAAAGTGCACTTTTGCTACAGTTTCTATTGTGAAGAGAGTGGTTTGATGCTGCTTCTGTATAATTAAATGACTGCCGAAATGTTTCCAATAAAAGATTGAGTATGGTGAAATGCATGAAATGTATGTGCGTTGTTGCTGTTTTTAAATTGAATTTAAATGCTAGACTAGGGGATATGTTTATTCCATTTCTATCCTCTGAAAGGTGGTATGTGTGGTCTCCCTACCCGTTATACCTTTACAACAAGAACCCTGTGATGAGATAAAGTGACTCCTGCCAGTTATATATTTTTATTCATTTATTTAGCACAATGTGTGTATTGCTTCCCTATAAATAAAACTTGTAAGTGGTTGACAAAACGGCAAAACAAAAGTATAGATTAAAATTAGCAAAGGTGAAAGCCAATTTTTAAAATTAGAAATTAAAGCTCATGGCAGCTTTTACGTGTCTGGGTAGGTTTGCCCAAACAGAGATTTTAGTATGTGCCAAAACAGATATAACAAAGGTGCCTGACTGATGCCAGTACAATGCCTCTCTGGGGAGAAAGCAACTTTTTGAACACAAATTACACTATCCATTAACAAACCACATTTGGTGGCGATTTTCTACAAATTTTTGGGCAGTGTCAGGCAGTTCCCACTAGTTCTAAATGTATTGTACTCTGGTTTCTTGGGATTGCCAAGTGTTTAAGCAGAATGTAGAATTTTTCATCCCTTTTAAACAGACTGGGTGAAGTACAGTGTAGGGAGGTCCTGGACTTAGTAGCCTCTACTGCTGTAAGACATGCCATTAAGGTAAAACATGTCAAATCACATGGCAGGTTCATACAGGGTAGGTGGGGCCATGCACAAACCGAATGGCAAATACGTGCAGATATGAGACTGCCTCAAATCAGGACAAATATGTACTGCCTAGCATTTCACTCTTAAGAGGCAATTTCTTAAGAGGCAGAGAGCTGGGCCTGGATAGCATGGCTGAATATTTTTTTTTGTCTATGTGTCTCGTCTCTCCTGGGATTGTGAGTTAAGAGGCTGCAGTAGCCATTGCTAGAAGAATCATTTCTGCCAGTTCTGGTGGCATGCTGGCTGGGGGCAGTGATTAAACTCCTTTCAGCTGAAGCACAACAAACAGAAATTTGAGGTTTCTGTGCATTGCTGTTTGTTCTGATTCAGCTTTAAAGAGCAGGTTTTCACAGGGAAAGCTCCAGAGCAAAAGTGTGGGTGGGGGGCATTTGAACACAGAGCTTTAAATTGCCTGAAAAGCACAGAGGAGAGGTAAGTGTGGATAAGCTCTTAGTCTTGCCTGTGTAGCAAGTGCTAGCTGCTCTGCTGCGTTGATGGTCCATGGTTCACAAATAAATACAGCTTTTAAAGTTTTCCTGGTGCCAGCTGCTTACTGATAGTAGTGCAGACCCATTGCAAGGTCTCTTCACATAGTGAGTACCTTTCCCAAATCCATGAGGTACTTCATTCAACACATAAACTATGGACCTCACTTGCACAGGAGGCAATGTTGGCCATCAAATTGGTTGTCTTTAAAAGAGGACTGGACGGATTCATGGAGGAGAGGGCTATTGAAGGCTACTAGCCATGATGACTATATCCCACCTCCACAATCAGAAGCATATAACCAAGACATTTGCCTGTATAGTATTGTTACATACTCCTTTGAAAAAAGCTGTTCAGACAGCTCAGCCTGTCAGCCCTTTCCTTGCATTCCATCAACAGTGTGCATATGTAGGGGGGCTCAGGGAAGGACACTGGTGTAGAATAGAATGTCCCAATTTTCATCTGAGGAAAGTTGGAGGGTATGACATGATGCAAACATTTTTCTGTGCCTTTTTCCTTCCCCTTCAAAAAATCTAGTTCTGACCACTTACCATGGACTCCAGTAATTCCAAAGGATAGGTTGCACTTTTGTTGAGCTCTGGAACAAGTTCAGTTTTGGTCTTGCTAAACTAGCTGCTGTGATGGGCTTTGTCTTCCTAAGACAACAAGGAAACTATAGCAAAGCACTTTGCCTTCTTGAATATCACAGTGCAAGTCTCCAGCAGGTTGCTATTCAAAACTGGCCTTTGGAATTGAATAACCAGTAGTGTGTTGAGTTTTTCCTTCCTGCTTTTACTGTTGCAGATTAGTTGTCATGCCTAATGATTTTAAAGGTTGCAACGAGCCACCTGGGGGGTGAGTTGCCTCTTACAGGTTTGCTTTTGTGGTGAGATTATCAAGGCATTCTGTGTTATCTGTGTTCAGATTAATGTGTAGAGTACTTACTCAGAATGATAAAATCATTGCAAACAACTAGTGGTGGGCAAGTCTTAGCAGATGTAAGAAATAATTGAAAATCACCTATAACCTCTTCCCTCTAGATGTTACTGAAATCCTAACTCCCATCAGCCCCAGCCAGTATGGCAATGGGTTGGGAATGATGGGAGCTGGAGTTGAACAACAGCTGGAAGACCACAAGCTCCCCATTTCTGAGCCAGGGAAACATTAATGTATATACATCATCCAGCAGAAAAGAAACTCAAGCACATAATTAAATCATACAAAACAAAAGAAAGAACAGCAAACCAGCTAAGTGTTCTGCTTTGGATTGAATATCTCCAGGCAACCACCATTAGGACTTTATGACCTTACTACTGTTTCATTGCCTTATGCACAATAATATCTAGCCCTGCAAATCTCTCACTTTATCTACCTATCATATTTGATAGTAGAATTTTCTGTCCAGGGGCACATACCGTATTTCAGAAGCAGCGATCTTGTATAAATCCAATGATCATTTGGGTTTGGTATCTCAAATAAGCAAGGAATTGGCGTGGTATTTGACAAAATGCCTCTTTGAAGGAAGACAGTCAAATTAACCAGCAGCATAACGGAGACATCTAAAAGAGCCAATGCAGCAATGGAGCTCAGTTTGAAAAATAAAACCTCCATTAAGGGAATGAAACCTTCACAAATTGGCCTATTACTGCAGTTGGAGAACATTCAGGATCAGGATTGCCACCTAAATATTAGGGCTAAGGGGTACCTAAAGAAAATTGGGGAGTATAGCCTGCAAGTTGCTTCTATTGCCTGGATAAATCGGTTATTCCTTGAGATAAACCTCCAGCCTGAAGAAATAGAATGGCTACAGAGCGATCTCTGTCTTAAACCAAAGAAGGGTAAAAGTGCCAGAAACGTTATAAAGCACTTGTTTAAAAATGACTTGATGTAAAGGTTTAGCATGTTTTGGATAAAATCAGTGCTATTTTTCTAGAAAAAGAGATGCCAGAACTCACCATAAAGGTAAAGGTAAAGGGACCCCTGACCATTAGGTCCAGTCGTGGCCGACTCTGGGGTTGCAGCTCTCATCTCGCTTTATTGACCGAGGGAGCTGGCATACAGCTTCCAGGTCATGTGGCCAGCATGACTAAGCCACTTCTGGCGAACCAGAGCAGTGCACAGAAATGGCATTTACCTTCCCGCCAGAGAAGTATTTATCTACTTGCACTTTGACGTGCTTTCGAACTGCTAGGTTGGCATGAGCTGGGACCGAGCAACTGGAGCTCACCCCGTCGCAGGGATTCGGACCGCCGACCTTCTGATCAGCAAGTCCTAGGCTCTGTGGTTTAACCCACTGCGCCACCCGCGTCCCTCTTAGAACTCACCATGAACATCTTGTTATCTTAAAAAAGCAATGGTGCCCATCTGAGAGGTGCTAGAACTGAGTTCCGGCAAGTGCCGGTTGAAAAAAAGACCCTGGGTAAAATAGAATATGAAGTATCATAAATAGCATTTTTCAAGACTTATGTCAGGAATGCTCCAATGGAGGTGTGATGGAGGGGTCATAATCTGAATTCCAGATAAATTATGTTTAGAAACAAAAGATACTATAAAGACTTCCTCTTCGACTCTTGTCCTGCACCTAGAAAGCATGGGTCAGAGGTTTTATAGCATTTTGCTACAACCCTCAGTGAGCTCCTTATTTAATTTAGAAGCTCGAGACTTAAGGGAGGAAAAATATGCAATACTTTTTTATATAATTTTTTTTCCATTTTCTATTTTACATAAACAAATGAATTAAAAACATAAACATATAATCCCTTCTGACTCCCCCCCCCTTGTGGATCCTTAATGTAATGATTTCCCCCTCTGCATCTCTATTATAACTATTTTTTATAAATCCTTTGTCAATCCATACTTCAATTTTTTACTACAAGTTTTCTGTCAATCCTACCAATATATGTAGTTGTTTACAATAGCTTTTCAAATAAATTATAAACTTTCCCCATGCTTTATTAAAGACCTCCTCTTCCTGATTTCAATTTCTTCCTGTAAGTTTTGCTATCTCGGCATAGTTCATCAATTTTGTCTGCCACTCTTCTTTGGTCGGAGTTGTACCATCTTTCCATTTCTCGGCTAAGTCTGCACAGCCGTGGTCACATACAAAAATAGTTTCGTCTGGTCCTTCAGGATCTCTGGTCCTATAAAAGTGTATTGGCCCAAATATAAGCCACACTTTTCCCCCAAATTCCGACTGTGAAAAGTTAAAGTGTGGCTTAAATTCACAACCTTACAAAAATTGGCTTTTACGATATTACTGAAACAGACATACAGTAAAATGGAACAAAAAATGTTTTATTGCCGATTTGCAAGCTTGAGTGCCTGCGGAATTGTAGCGATTCAATAGCGATTTGTGATTTTACTGATTGTACGGTAAATTTTGCGGGCTTGCAGGTTCAAAGGCTTAAATTGCCTCAGAGTTACAATTCTACCAACCTCAGCGATTTTCAGCCTGTAACCCAATTTTAAGGGCGCGGCTTATATTCAGGTATTCTCTCCCCCGCCCCCCCCTTTGAATTTTAAAGGTGCGGCTTATATTCAGGCCAATACGGTATCTAAAAGAAAAGCTTCTGGTTTCTTAGGTAAAGTTATTTTCAACATTTTTTCCAGTTCGTTATATATCATTTCCCAGAAGTCTTTTATCATCTTACATGACCACCACATATGATAAAAAGTACCCTCTTTTTCTTTACATTTCCAGCACATTTTAGACTTTGATTTGTACATCTTAGCTAATTTGCTAGCGATGCATCATTTTCATATAATTCTCCTTCAGAGTATAAAATGCTGTAAATTTT